TAAGCTTTTACAGTGGGATTTTAGCTATGTTATTAGGCTTTTATTTAAGAAATAATGTCTTAATGTAAATGATATAGAAAACTGTCAAAGCCTATAAAAGTTGAGTACTAATATTCTGCTATGAAATAACCATAATTCACAGAAATATTGTATTATTAGAAGAAAACTGGTGTTTAAATCAAGTTATCCTTTAATTCAACCTTCCAAAATATATCTATACATATTTTCATTTGGAATTCATGATTAATTCATAAAACAATGTAATTTTTATCAATTTGCTAATATTGTCTTTTTTCTTCAAATAAATGTTTCTGTTTAGGAAATGAGTTGATAACAGTAAGGTTTCCATGGCATATGATGTAAAACATACACACTGTCCAAGAAAAATCTGGTGGAAATTTACAAATAAACTCTAGATTGTTATTATTATTGACACTAAGATACATTGTAAGTCAGCCTTTTAGTACAAGCTTTCAAGTCCACTGCAAGATCATCAAATTCCTATTTCTCATTTTATCATGTCTGATTTGAAAAATATCCACAAGAGATTTCTAACCCATCCTGTATCTTTTGAATAAATCTAATCCCTATGATGAATACTTAACACGCATCTATACTGAAACAACACAATTGTATACTGACATTGGAGAATTTTTTTTTACTTTTCTATTCATCTGACATCAAAAGTCAGGTGTCAGATTTAATGGCAAATGTATACTTTTCCTGTATTCTTGTCATAATATGGCAGCTTAATGAAGATGTATAGGTGAAATGGGAAGAGACAGCAAATCAGATTTCCTAAAAGAAGCATGGAGAAGAGAATTGATGGGGTGATATATAAATATATTATTGATGTCTGTGTACTCCTATCCTGAAAAAATCTGTAGTATCCTGTGTGTTACTGATAATTTAATATCTCATTCCCCATGTCCAACACATGTTAAAAGAAGGATGTGCTTCTGAATTCCAAGTCACTCAACATGAGTCTAAAAAAAAACATGTAGTAAAGTAACGAGAAACAAGGGACTTAAAAAGACATCTGAAATTATTTCATGATAAATGCATTTATCTGGTGAAGGGTTCTACTAGTGGATTATTGACAAGACTGTCTGTATTTAAGGGCTTAAACACATGAGGCAATATTGCTGGAAATTTAATAATTCTTAAATCTTAAGATACAATATTATCTTTGTCTTCATGGATACACTGAAACTACATTTTAAAGTTGGACCTTATAGGGGCTGAGATGATTAAAGAATTTGTCTCTAGCATAGGAAAGTTGCAGAACATCTTATTATGCACTGAGTGACCCCAAAAATAAAAAAAGTTCAGGTGAACCACAAATGCAATGGATGATGAGAATATTAATGTGAATAAAGTTGTAGTTTATGAAAATCAGTGGTGACAAGCATTTTAATACTACAAAACTGGCCAACTTGACTAAGAAAAGAAGTAATATTTTAATTACCCCATACACATGTATATATATAGGCTCAGATGAGTGGGCAAGAAAATATATATTCCTCACAGAGCCCCCAAGAATTTCTGTTGCTCTTGAATAATTACTTTTAATCTACATACACCCTTCACTGTTTTCCTAACAAATAAATAAGTCATGCATTTCAAAGGAAATGACCCCATTTAAATTCATCATTATAAATTTGTTATTGATCAAATTAATATGCAGTTGATCACACTACTGATCATATAAATTTCATCTAAGAAAGGACTGATGAAAACTATTAAATCGTTTCCAGTCTCTCTCTAATACAATAAAGAATATACAAAGTCAATCAGAGAGAGAGAGAGAGAGAGAGAGAGAGAGAGAGAGAGAGAGAGAGAGAGAGAGATATCCAGGATTTTTAATTCCACTCAACTAAAAATTTTAATAATATAGAAAGCAGCTTTGTATATATATTTATCATCTCATTCTCTCTTTATAACCCACTGTACTCACCTGTACCTTCTTCAACACATTCCAATCATCTCCAGTATTTTATACCATGCAGTTAAGTTCAGCACGGGCCATTAAAAAACCTTAACCTTCAGCCCCTCAAGAAAAAAGTTTCAGTACTTTCCTCTCACATCCTGCTACTTGACTATACCATATATCACAACTTCAAAGTTGCAGCTACATGTATTTCTAGAAATGGAACCCTTGCAACACAAGAATTCAAAGTAGATACTAAACACCAAGTCAGCTCATGCAGCAAAGGAGTAGCTTTAAAACTTGCACTTTTTCAGCATAGGGTCTTCCAAATTAGCATGAACATAACCTGACTGGGAGTCCCATATTGATTTGATCATGTCCCAATGAGGCTAAGTGTCAAACCAATAGCCCAAGGCTTTGCATGCCCTAATGGTGTTCTATCTAAACCATGCTAGAATCTTAAACAGGAGACCACGAGACAAATGTGTGTGTGTGTGTGTGTGTGTGTGTGTGTGTGTGTGTGTGTGTCTATATATATATATATATAGAGGCACATTCTAAATATTATTTTTTTATACATATCCAAATCAAACTATGTTCAGTTGGATTATATTTCTAGGATAAGTTCAGACCAGCACTCCCTAAGGACTGGCCATCAGACCAAAACACTGAGGCTAATATAGTTGATGTAATTTGTTTACCAGTCTGAACATTATGTTCTCTGGAAGCAGGTGTAGGGATGTCAGAGGCAGAGAGATTAGCTCCAAATCAGTACTGCTATGAAAAAATAACGTAAGCAGATGGAAAATATAAAGAGCATAAATCTTTGGAAGGTGGAAAATCTCATGAAAAATGCCACTTTAGTACCTGTGAAATGTGGTAAGTAATCCACATATATATGTGAACCAAATTAAGAATTGCTTTGATCAGGGTCTATTAATATAAGTATGGTTGGACTTCTTGCATCTCCTGTGAAAATAATTGCAGAAAATTGCTGTAATATATTTCACATATGAAGGAAGTTTTGGTAATTACTTTGGAAACTCCTATTACCTACTCTTTAAAAGCTATTTTTGCTCACTTTCCTTCTTTTCTTTTTCAATGATGGTTAGAAGTTTAAATATTTACATCATAGTTTTTTGGTATAGTGTGTGATTAACTAATGAAATTAAAGTAGACCCGAATGGGTTTTTAAATATTTGTTTTATATTAAAAATAAATAAATAAATAAATAAATAAATAAATAAATAAATAAATAAATAAATAAATAAATAAATGATCTGTACATTAGAGATATATGTAACCCAGCCTATAAATTTTGAATTGTAGAAAAAAATATTTTATAGCAACCAATTTAACATTCAAAAATGCATTGACAGATATGGGTCACATGGTCTGTGAAGAAATAGTTGCTGAAATGAAACACACACACACACACACACACACAGCTTTCAAAATTTACCCTGATGAAAAACAATATTTTAAGGCCTTGAGACACTAGTAATTACTTGTGAAGACTACAGGGGTGAGCCCTTAAGGTCTCTCAAATTTGGAGGGCTATGACACTTTTAATTGTAGCAATTGATAGTAGACCTGTATACCTCCAGAGGTAGGAACAGTGTGAAAAGTAAATTGCTTTTTATTTCCCTTGTATTGAGTAGAAATGACATTAATGCTCATTTAAGGCAGTAACAGTTGCTCAGTGTTATTAAATTGACAGGCAAATGACTTCACAATGGTAAATTTAACCCCTCAGGTAAGAAAGTGAATGACCATTGGTTGCTATCAAGAGTTTGGGAAAAAACGAGATCCTTTAACTATGAGATATCATGATTTAGCAAGTATTGTGTACCAGACGTAGGTCATTTACTTCCAGACCTAGCAAAAAAAAAAAAAGATAAAATAAAATGCTACTACTACTACTACTACTACTACTACTACTACTACTGCTGCTACTACTACTGCTACTGCTACTACTACTACTACTACTACTACTACTACCACTAATAATAATAATAATAATTGTTATTAAAGCTTACTGCATAACAAACACCCAATTTGTGTCTTTTGATAAATCATTTGTCTTCCGGGCAAATTTTCTGAAGAATATTTGTTCAAGCCATTTTGTTACTGATTCTGGTCTCCTTTAAGACAAACATTAATTTGTTTTAGAAGTTTACATACTAGAAGCAGACAGAAGGGGTACTTTTAATTATTCCTATCAAAGCCAAAGATAATTAAAAAACTTCATTCTCAAAACTTAGAGATGGTTTCTGTAATAATTAAGTTAAAAGATTGGAATTAACCATAATGTGTAATTCAGCAGCTGTTATTTATCAGAAGTTAAAATTAGTTTTTGTTTGAAACACCATTTGCATGTAAAGTGTTTCTAAAGTTCTTTCTATCATTAGTTTAACATAACAAAGCTGTTCAGAGCTTCAATAACCATCCGGACACCAACAAAATACCTTGTTTCAATAAGCATTAGGCTCAAGGTATTAGGATTACTTTAATTACCTTGTTACTTATTTCCCCTCAGTAATATTGCGTGCAAATGTGCAGGAAAGTGAAACAAGAACTCTAGCCTTATAAGAGGATCAAATGTAAAGAAAATAATTGGCTGAGTTCTTTCAATCTAGATTAACTAAAGCTGATGCCAGTGAAAAAAAAATGGCCCTTGCAGATTGAAAATCCTGTTAGTTGTTAAGGTGATACCCAATGGACCATCTCTTCTGGTGGAATTTAGCCCTTACTATTCTGAAGCACCTTTACAACTTTTGATTGTGATTACATGAGGCATGACCTGTTGCAAATGAAGGGAAATGAAAAAGGATACCCACCTGAAAAAATGTATTATATTTGAACATGAAAAAAAAATCAATTTCCACTTGTCTTACAAAACACCTGCTGTATTATAGCAGTTCAAAGGATCTACAGTTATTGAGCAAGAAAACAGAGTACGTAAATAATCTGACCTGACATGGTTTACAGGTTAACTAACTTAACTGAAAAATCACAGAAAAATTCTAGACAGTAATGTAATCAAATGCACAGTCAAAGGTATAGGTACCAGTACAACATGGGTATCATATCTGAACTCATGATTCTGCTGATTCCTTTTTGGTAGATTTTCCAAAGGGGGAGGCATTCAAAACTTGCAAACCAATTGGGTTGTTTTTGACTCACTGGGTCTGGAAAAGAGAATATTTAGCTTAATATTGTGTTAAGAAATAACAATGCATTTGATAATGTATTTTTCAAAACTGGGCACCTCTAGTGGAGAATACAGACTGCCAAATGAGAAATATTTTTAGCATAGTTTTTACTAAAGTGAAGACCAGTATCTACAAGAGAGAAATGTCTCTGATTCTACCATTAATGCATATGGCCAACAGTTTATAAAGCTTCATACCCAATAAATAAAAGAAATAATCAGATTGCCAGTCTATAAGCAGCTGTATGAAAAACAAATTAAAAAGTGATTTTTCAGACCTGAAAATGCATCAGTAAGTGGAAAATACATTGTTTATGCAATTATCGATGATGAAATACTTAGTGCATGATCAATCTGAATTTTGACAGAGACTACAGAATACATTTACACAGGAAAAGTTACTTTGGAGACACTATATATATAACATCCATGCTGATATGTCTCTCAGATTATCAAATAATAAAAGGAATGGCTGTGTCTCTAACTTTCCTGATCAATTACAACTGTCACGGTATTGATTTTTTGTGCATGGACACCAATCAAAAGCTATTGTTTCATAAAGATAATGTCAATCCTAACTCACTTGGGTTGCTACTTCAACCACTGAGCAGGGTGAATGCTTCCATAATGCTACAAACAATTGTCTCAAAAGTAACTGAAAGCCATTAAATCCTTTGAGGAATTCATTGCCTGTAGATAATCAGAGTTTCTGGCAGGGCTTGACCTTTTTATACATGCAGATTTAAAACAATCGGATCATGACTTACAAAGTATCAAATTGACAAAATTTCATAGGAACCTTTGGTCAGACTGCCTGCAAATCTGTTTGTCAGAATAGAGGCCAAGACCCATTTCACATCATGCATTGTCTTTTCTACATCTATATTGAAACACTTAGACTGGTCCTAACATGTTATTATGCTATGGGTTTTTTCCTCCTTTTCACAGGTTGGACTTTTTGGACCAATCACAATTAATTTGAATAAGTGCCTATGTTGAGCATGGAGGCTCCATTAAGGTAACTTTTCAGGTAATAGCCAAATTAAATTTTTTAAAGTGAAGTGTCTTCCAAGAATAGGCATTGACTGAAAAATGCTATCTCAATTTACTTAACTTCACTCAGGTTAAAAAAATTAGTTGGCAGAATTCTCAGATTTAATCAGTTAACACTGATATCTGTTAAAACATACTTAATGATCAAATTCTTTTTTCTTTTTTCCAAATGCTTTTTTAAAATTTTACTTGTGTTAGCCTGTGTAATGTCACTTCAATTCATAGATTGGTTTAAAGTCCATAGTCTATACCAGTACCTTAATAATGGAAATCATATGTGCTGCAATATGAGACTAGAAAATGTAGGAGAATCTTTGTGAGGGGGGTTATTTATTTAGTATTAGAGTGAAACTCATCAGGCAGGTTGTCTTAGAAAGTCATACAAAAGTGATACACAAAACATTGCATATTTGTGCTGTTGTAATATAAGACATAACTTAAAGGGAAAACAACCAGATAAATATTGGGTAAAGTCGATCAGCTTTTATTCACAGATGCACTAGTCTGGCATCATTTCCAAGAATACTCTTCCAAAGCCCACAAAATCTTTTTTAAAGAGGAGCAAGAGAACTCTTTGAGAGAACCAATAGAACTATTTAGGTCTTTGAAGAAGAGATGTCTTGGATACATTCACAAGCTGGGCATTGCCTCTTGTGCTGCTCAGGGAATTTGGCCATGCAGTTCCCAGGTTTTTATATTCTAACAATGCCCTTGGGGGTAAAAGAGTATCCAGTGCCATCCAGAGAAGGCTTAATACATATGTATGTTGCTTAAATTAGAGCTAGAATTCCCATGCAGTCCTCCCAATAGGCTGCCACCTGATAGGCCAAAAAGGTGTCTAGAAACACAATCATTAAAAGAATCACAGGGGTACACACTTTTCACTGTACACAATGATAAACAGCCAAAAAAGTTCGTACCATGAAAAATGCACAATCCTACAGTTCATTGCGATTATATTTTGTCTGAAATAAAGCCCTGCCACTCAACCCTTAAAACCAATCAAAGTAGTGGAAACAGGTTCACATGATTTCTTGACCTAGATCTGATAAACATAAGCAATGAATTTCCATGGAAAGCTTGCAGATTTTATGGATTCCCACGCTTTGTTTCACATAAAAAATATGTTCTAGGTTTTTAAAAACGATGTCAATATTGCAAAAAAGGTTAAAGGAATTTGGGGTTTAGGTAATTTGCTAAATAATGACAGAAATGCACAGCAAAAAGGAACAGCCCATGAGTATAGTAAAACTTTTACTACTATCAGATGTCACACTACTATACTTTATATAGTGATAGTGAAATAAGCTGCGTTCTGTATCATTAGATTGAATGCACTAATGTTCTCAAATGTGTCAAAGGTTATGTTCAAAGTGCATATATTCACTGAAAAATTAGTTGACACCATATTTTATACTGATAAATATAACATGAATCCATGTGTAGAGTTTTACAAACTATGTAACAGAGGCTGGCTGTGAATGTACCTAGATGGTGCTTAAGAAAATTATTTTTTAAAAATATTAAAGTATTTGCACAACATCGCATTATATAGGTTTGTATATTCAAGCATATTTTAAATTGCAGTGATTTAATAAAAAATGATAGTTTATTGTAATCATTTGCACCATTGTCTAATAATAACAGCATTTTAAAAGAAAATACAGCTCATACTCAGCAAGGATTTTTTTTTTTTTTTTTTTTTTTTTT